CATCATATTTTACACAAACATCAGTTCCATGATTTTCAAACTGTATATTTCTATAAAAGTCATTATTGAATGTTTTTAAATTAATTTTTTTAAGTTTTTGACGGGAAACATTAAACTATCAATAAATTTACATTAATAAGAATCTGCATGTTTCCACCCTTCCACATTAAACGTTGATTTCCTACATTATTGTCAGTTTGAAATGATTTTTTTTTATATTTAATGCCTTTTCATAACTGATTTTTTTTTTATTTATCTCATTTTGGTTACATTTTAATATTTTATTTGATCTGGCTCTTTGCTAACTCAATTGCTTTACTTCATGTTCATACCATGGGTAAGTCATTTTTATATATCAACATTGGTAATATTACACATACTTGTGTTTTCAGGTAATGTTTTTATTTTTACTGATTTGTTTGTTAGATTTCACTGCTTGTATATGAAATTTGACAGATATTACAGAATGACCCTTCGTCTTATGTTTTTTGTATAATTCAGTGATCCTATAAAAGTATTTGTTTTGTATGATCTATACATCTTTGTATAGAGTTAATTTTTTGGAATTATTTGCTTCCTTTCTTGAATATCAATATGCCCAAAATCCAAAGTATTCTTTATTCTTTCCAAATTTAATGATGAGGATCAAGGTTCTTTCGTCTTTTTTATAAAAAGACTGACTTCATCTTGGAATCGTGTTCATATTGTAGATCCAAGAAATATTTTCTTTGTTCGAAGTCAATTCATTCAAATGTGAGTTCATTTCTAAACTGTTCGTTTTTCAATATATTATTCAATAGTTTCAACCTCAACTGACTGGCACTTTTGATATAAAATATAAACAGCCATAATTTCTTGTCAAAATGATTTTTTCTGTTTTCAAATTTTGTTTTATCTTCTTAATATTTGTGGTACATTCTTGTTCACCTGTTATATAGACTAAATTTCATACTGATTCGACCAAGACATTCAATACTCATATTTTGGTTGATTGTGCTTGTTGAATTTTTTGTGAAACTTCAATTTCATCATTTTCAGATATGCTGGTGATAGAAGTTCCTCTTCCTTTCTAAAACCCACCGATACTTTCCCAACCACCACAGAACCTCATCTATTCCAACATCCCCCATGTCTGCCACCGTTACCTTCTCAGCCGCCACCACCGCCACCCCAGAACCCGCCTCCTCCACAAACTCCCCCTCCCCTATCTCTCTCTTCAGTTTCAACGTCATCACAGTATAGGTCTTCGCATAATTCATCTCAGCAGCATTCTCATACTTACTCGAAGAATTTCTACAACTATAAGAGGCAATCAGATTCTGAAGACTATCACAAAAAGGTAGGAAAATTATTTAATGATGATACAAATTATAAAAACGATATTATAATCAGTAATCTAATCTACGGTTTTTCAAACTTGAATAAAATGCTGAGCTTTTCAGAAATAGGTCCGCTCATGAACGAGTATAGTGTGCAGTCAGTAAGTTTAATATTGTACAAAATTTGCAATTTTGAAATTCAATAAAAAGGCAATATTAATTCAAATAATTTCCGAGATCAATTTGTCTCTATTTGAGATTTATATAAAAATATAGAAAAGTTTTCAATATTTTTTAACCAAACTGTGTTGGTCGCACAGGCACCGCTCTGAGAGCGCCTTAAGGATTTTCTTGTAATGCTTGTGTTTTGTCCTTAAAAAATATAGGTACTGAAATAATTTAGGCTTTTTATGAATACATTCTTGAAAGTTTCCAGAAAGAATCGGTTGTTTCTACATAAACGAAGCTCTCCTCATATCACTTTAATGTTTGTTTGCATTAAATTGCCTTTAATGTGCTATTGGTATTTTCAATATTTTCACCATTCCTTTCTACTTTGTGTGGTTTATTGAAAGTCACCCTGATTAAAACCGCAGTACTCCTCATATCTTCTAGCCACATTTTCTATGGCGACATATCCTTGTTCTATCTATTCTTATTTTGAACATTTTAATCTAATTATTTTTTACATGTCTAAACAGGAGGACTTGAAGTTGTTTTTATCTTTCTCTCTTTGTTTATTCCTAGGATGTGTCTATATGCCATGTTATTATTTGTATATATTGCTGTTCTATTTATCTACTCTTACGAATCTCGTTTCTGTTACCACAACGTCTTTTGTCTTTCTGTTAAGGTCTGTGTCTCCACTTCATGTATTGGAGTGGTCACCCTCTGAAAAATCTACTTAATCTATAGGTTTCTTTTTCTTTCCCACAAATTAATGTTTGATGACACTATTAGATAAATGCTTCAAAATATTTTTTTTCTCAGTGTCTTCAGTTTTCTATCTTATGATAATTTCATATTTCATTTGCTGCAATTCTTATGGATATTTTTATTTCGTGTTGTTCATCTCTCCGCAATATCACTGTTTTTGTCTTATCCTTACTGATCATTATGTTTGTCTCTTCCAGTGCTTTGAAGTATATTCCCTTGTTTTCATTTAATGCTGCCTCACTATCAGTCACATTACTATATCGTTGACACATCATAATCTTCTTATTTTTTCAGCTTCTTCTTGCCTTCCTTTATCATTTCATCTAGGACTATCGTAAATTAAGGGGTTTGGGACACTTTCATACTCCTAACATTTTCTAATTTTTTTTTTCATATTTCCTGTTTTGTTTTCATGTGTTTTTTTATGAAACTTTATATACCTATTCTTTGAAATACATTTATTTGTTGTAAAGGATATGATGTTTTTTAAGTTTCTAACCTTCCACAACCTGAGAAGTAAATGAATATGGATAGAGAATTTGCTCGAATTTAATAAAGAGCAAACCGAAAAGTTACTGCATAATATAATCCTTTGAAGAGTCTAATCAATCAGTCATATTTACAAATATTGTCTGTAAGTAAACTAATTGATTGAAAAAACAAAATGTTCAATACTAAGATTTCTCATAACCACTGACGTTTCAAATGAAGTCTTTTTCCATTTTTAAAACCTGCAAAGATACTTTGGATAAGTCTCTTTGAAAAGGTGTGTATTTCCTTTTGTGTGTATTTCTTTTGACAAATGTTGAAGAAATAAAATGTCAAGATTTCATATTCGACAGTCTACAATAACACACAAACAGAATGTTTGTCGAAAAATAGTTCAGGTCCATATTTCTGTCCTCAATGTCTCGCCTCAGCAATGGTAACCAGTTGCGATTCATTTCCAGAGTTAGTTGAAATACACCTATCTGCTCAAAGTATATAAGCGGCTTTTTTTTTCAGTTTTCACGATTTTTGTGAGGTTCTTTGGTGATTATTTTTGTTTCTTTCCATTCGTGATTGATTTTTTGAAAATAAAGTTGTAAGATGTAGTTTATGCAATTACTATGGATCTTCATCAAGTAACGGCCGAATCATTCAGAAAAAAAAACAGGGCTGTCTTCAACTTGAGTGTGTCACACAGTATAAAGCTCAACTGATTCTCTCCAGAGGCTTTTCCTTTCACTTGTTTCGGTAATGAAAAGGAAATGGGCTTCACTGATTTCTCTGTTTGAACTGGAAAATTGCTGTTTTTCCAAGGTATTTTCTAACTTTCATCTCAATTTTTCTCCAGGATTTTTACATGTTTTCGTTATTTTTATACTTAACAAAAATCAATTCATAAGCCAAAAATCTTTTTTTTTCGGCCCTAATAAGTTAAGTGTACATTTTTGTAGAGAAAGTAGAACAAGCAAGTAGTAGAACATATTTAACATTCACATCATCAACAGAAAAATTGTCTTCAAGTCCGTAAATATTTGAATAAAATTTCAATCAAGTTAGTTTAATGTACAATATTCTAAAAATTCGAAGAAGATTCATATTATAATTAATTAATGTGTTGAATTTTTTTGAGTATGTTCTTTAAATATTATATATTATATTATCATTTGCATGGTATAAATAAACAAGTGCTGTTACTCTTTACTGTTAGAATGCGAAGAAAAGAAAGAAACCACTGTCGCAGAATATTCCCCAGAGAAAGGACTGGTCGGTGCAAGATGCAAAAAGGGCCCTTGATGTTGAAAAAGAGAGCAACAAGAGATCAAAGAGGCAGTCACTTATTATCAAGTTTCCAGATCTGGAGTTAAACAGGGAAATTGTATCAAACTTCCATCCAAGTATTGAAAACGTGCATTTCCAACAACCTTCCACACCAAGATTTTGTTTTGTTACTTTGAGAGTAAGTTACTTAAGTATATGTTTCGATTATTTATTTTTTGTCAACATTTCAAATTTCATCAAATCAATTTTAAATTCAAATTCAGAAATTGAAGTTATAAATATTAATTTTTAACCGTAATGAAACATCAACAATGACTGAAAGTATATTTTTTCCTCTGGTATTACTGAAATCTGCTAGTTTCATAATAAAAAATTATTCTTTGATGTCAGTATTATCTTCTGAATACACGTTTTTCATTTCATGTATAATAATTAAGTGATTTATTTTATTTTTTCCTATTCAGAAAATTATAATGACTGGTTTGGATTCCATTAACAGCCACCAATAATTTTCAGGATTCTGCTGATCCAGAAAGAGTCATTAACCAACTGAATAAAATTCCATTTGGGCAAGGTCATCTTATAGCTGAGTACAAGAAGGATCGAGAAGAAGATTTAAATATAGGACCTGAAGATATTGATCCCTTAACGCTGTATGTGGGTAATCTGGCACAGGAAGTCACTAAAGAAGACATGGTTAAATGCTACCCCAGACAGAAAAGGATAGACATTGGTTACGCTAAAAAGATGAAGTATACAAGATATGCTTTTGTGTCATTCAAGTGTGTTGAAGATTCAATTGAAGCTTTTCAACGCACGCATGCTTCACAAATGTATTCTAAGAGTTTAATTGTGAGGTGAGAACATTATTTGCAAATGACAAAATCATAATTCTGCAATAGCTGAAAGTAGTTGAAACTCGTTAACAAAATAATCAAGCGATAATTTTCATATTACCAGCACCCATTTGTAGTCCATTATTTCTTCGAAAACTAAACACCAAGGATTATGAGTTTTTTGTTAAGAAACTTCATCAATGAACTCGTATGGGGCTGTGCCTGTTATTCTTTTTTCATGCCATTTGTCAATCAGATATTCTAGAATTGCTAATCAAGAAATTTGAAAGTATGTTATCCACAACTACTTTAATGTTAATCTATAACTCTAGATTATTTTCGTCACATTTTTCTTGTCGAAGAATAAACTGAGAAATTTTACGTTTTGCAATTAATTTCAAAATAAACTCTATACAAAAATGTGCAGTTCATGCAAAGAAGTAACTTTCAGACACACACTGGAAGAAAAACCCTCCCGAAACAACTACTTTTTTATGAACATTGAATTATACAAAAAACACTTCTTCCTATTCAGTTTGTACTTGAAATATTCGTTACGGAACTACGGAATTGAATCAGAAATCATTCGCAGGATTGCTACACAATAGCAATGAAAGAGGTTAAGTTTCACTTGCATGGAACACTATCATTTTCAATGACAGACATTTGATGTTTCGGAATAAGACTCATCTTATTTCCTCTTCAGCACCAATATGGATAACTACAAGATGAAGCATTCAACTCATTCATAAAATTACGAATATATGTCACGAGTGAGTTGAATCTACTCATGTCATCAATGACAGTACATAATGGCATTCATTTGCTTATTTGATTCAATCCCAACCATGGCATTCTTGTTTAAATTGAAAGAGGTTTTATTATAATTATGGACTTCAGTAGGTCTTCAATTGAACGAATCTTTGATCATTTTTAGTTTGGTGAGATGAACATATTGAAATTTTTAATTCATATAAGGCTATTATCTTTTTGCTTCATGTGCCTTTCACATAATCCACAAGGTTGAGAGTGCCTTATTACCAACAATAGTTGAATTGATTATTCTATAAGACATTTATTATATGTTCAATACCTTTGAATTATACCAAAAATACAATGGATCGCTGTTTGAAATGTCAATATTTCCTTTCACCGCTCTATAAAGGAGGTAATCGATATGAAGTAAATATATCTATATTTGGCTTTGAATGCTTTGTGTATTCTTTAAAGATATACATAGTGCACTTTCATTACAGATTTCGCAGACTTCATGGTACAGTAGGAATGCCAGGAGAACCTAAGCCTCAGTCATCCCAAAGAACTGACATTGAAACTCCATCAAACTTTGCCACATCCCTGGATGAAAAAAAAATTGAAGAGCAAGAAAATCAGTCAACACCATGGGATATAGACGTTTCTAAGTGGGATGTTGATACTGACATAGTGAAACAGGAACGTCCTGAAACCCCCCAAACTGATGAAGAACTCGACATCAAACCAGCTATTCCACTAAAATCTAGGTTCATGCCTGGATCTTTAGAACTAGCAATTTCTTCACATAGGCCTAACATTATGAAAATTGAGTCGGAAGAATATAATGATTCTGCTGGAATTACCTCTGAACAATCAGTTGATGTTATTACAAGAGGAACTAATTGTGAAAATAGTGAGAATAGTAGTTCAATAATCGAAATTGATGAAGAATTGAATGTAAATGATATCAATAGTAGGATTAAAAAAGAACAAATTGAGATCAGCAATGAACCCACAACATACGACATGCTGAGATCCCTGAACAACAAAATTAAAAATTACTGTGGTGAGAGACCTGAACTGAATACTGTTGTAATTAAAAAAGAGAATATGGAAGATAGCGTCTGTAATGAAATAAATTCACCTGAGAATGATGGAGATTATATTGATTGTCATTTTACAAGGAATGTTAAAAAAACAACAACTTCTCTTTTCTCTAAAAGCATTCGTAATAGAGACTTTGTTTCACAAAATAAATATGGAGGTACTATTGATCAACTCTCTAAGCGTTCTAGAGACCTCAATAAAAATATAAAAACACCTGCTGGCACAAATGACAATCAAAAAAATTTCATAAGTAACATTCAGAGTGAATTATTGGAAAAACAAGGAAGTGACAGAGAACTTGATAAATGTTCCACTGAAACACTGGCTGATCCTAGTAGTCATAGTATTCCGAAAAATAATGAAGTTGTATCTCACTCCAATAAAGGGACAATCCAGAATAATATGAAAAGTCAATCTAGATCAGTGGAGAAGACAGATTATGGTCAGCTAACGGAAAAGATGACTATCAGTGTCTCGGTTCAAAATGATGAGCCCAGGATTGATTTTAACGAATCTTCAAATGAAAGAAGTAGAATTATGCTTGACACAAATATGACTGGGAACGAATGTAGTAATAAAGGTCCGTCAAATATAACACACAAAAATATTCTGAAATGTACTGATCTTGGAAATAACAAAAAATCAATAAATGATTACAAAGAACAAACTACCTCACATTCTTCAATAAAACTTGTTGGTAGCAAAGATGCACCGAAGCTTGACCAAAAAGGAAAAGAGGATTCTCGAGCAATAGCGTCTCTCAATCGAAATGCAACATCAAAAAATCATTTCAATGAACAGATGAAAGAGAAAATCACTTTGATGACAGATAGCAGTATCAAGATAAATATAGGTCAGAATATAGGTGATAAAGAAAATGTGACCCAAATGAAAGATGTTGATTTGGGGACTATGACTTCCTTACAGTTGAACAAGGAAAGTGGTGAAAGTCCAAAAATACAACACGTTTTCTCACTGAGAGGAAACGAAAATACAGAATTCTCAAAAGAGAGTTTTGAGAAAACTAGCTCTTTGGTTGAAACGTTGCCAAATAATGATAACAAAAATTCATCTAATGATCAGGACAAAATAGGAGGAAATCCAATTCCAGAAGGTTTACCATTTGAGAATGACATTGGAATTAGTGATTGGATGTCAGCTGATATCAAACCTGAACCTGTGGATGAGGGTAATTTTGTATTTACTCAGTTAACTAGTTTAGTGATCCAATATTTTTTCTGAAAAAGGGGTTGGTTGGGTAACATGATCAATTTTTTCTTAAAAAAACAATTGTATTCTTGCCGACGTTTCGAATTTAATTAAATTCTTCTTCAGGGCTCTGTAACAATGAATTTTCATGAATATACCTTCCACAGAACTTATTTCAATTTCACAAGAAATAATGAGTTTTCATTCAAATTACTCACCGAAAAGTAGTTTTTTCGTGTCGATGATAATACTATTTTAAAAGTCATCAGACATATTAGATACATATTTGAACAATAAAAATAAACTATTTTAGATGTTCAACCATACTTATCAAAAAGACTTTTGAGCGAAATGATACATATCCTCAAATGCAATAGTGTTAACACTAGAAGAGATGTCGATGGCCTTAATACCGCATATTTTAATTTGATACGTAAAGTACCTGAATAATTTACACTTTTTTCATTCTTTTTCTTTCTGCCATTGATTAAAAAACAGACACCACCTTATCAGAATCAGAGATAAAGTCATTCGTTTGTTTCATGTCGTTTTGTGTTGGTGTTGTCTCGAAAATTTGTTGTTTGCAATGTGTTTTTTATTTTTCAAATACGTATCTAATATGTCTGATGATTTTTAAAATAGTATTATCATCAAAACGAAAAAACTACTTTTGGGTGAGTAATTTGAATGAAAACTCATTATTTCTTGTGAAATTGAAATAAGTTTTATGGAAGGTATATTCATGAAAATTCATTGTTACAGAGCCCTGAAGAAGAATTTAATTAAATTCGAAACGTCGGAAAGAATACATTTGTATTTACTATTGATTTTTGTTACCTTTGAACCTAATACCAACATTGATTTATTTTTACTGGGCTAAAACTTTAGGACGAACAATTATTCAGAATTAAAAATTAACCCCAAATGTGAGAGGATGGTGTCATTGAAAGTTCTTGTACATTTTCATTGGTCATTGAAGAAGGTTGACAAGTTGCAATATTGATGGCAACATGTTGGATTATTACAATTAATATTGGTACATTGCCCCTGTCTTCAAGTTACTGCCTCCCCTGTAATATTTGCTTGATTCTGACATATTCATCTAGAAAAGTCATTATCATTATATAGGGCCGGTTTGCTTCGTGGAGTTGGCTGAATCAATCACTATTTCATACAATTGAACAGTAATTCCAGGCAGGCTCTGTCAATTGGCAATTTCTTTAGAAAAAGTTGTTTCAACATTTCTCTAATACGATGTGCAGTTTGTTATATACGAGAAAACTCGGACTTAAATAGTATCTGAGTATAAATGATTGTTGATATGATTTACAGAGGTGAACATCTGATGCATGTAAATGCATAGCAGAGATAATGTTTTCAACAATTTGAATAGTTCTCCAGTTCTTTTTTGTGAAATAGTATTTGTGCTTCAGGTGATATTGTGATTGTTGAATAAAATTGCAATAACAGAGTTTCATCAACATTTTTACGGAGGTAATAGATACAATAACACATTAGCGATTTTTTATAGATCTTTCTGGGGATTCTCACTTGTTCTACAATTTTGGCTTCTAATTTCTAATATGTGCGAATTCTTTTAATTGAATGGGTAGGGTGAAAATAATAATTTGCAATTTACACTACACTAACATTTAATGCTAACAGCTGTTTTAACACTCTGTCATCACCTCCTGGGCGAGTTATAAACTAACCTAGGTATATGTTATCTCCTTAAATACTATAAGTTGCATTGTTAGGTAGAGAAAGGTATCAAAGGGCTCTTGGAAAATTACTAATAACATTGATAATTGGAGAACTATAAATATTTGATCATTCAGAACAATGTTGTGTTTTAATTTCTATAGATTCCAATATATTTGACTTCAGACTTTCTGGTTGAATGTGTAGAATTTTTGGGTTTTCTGTGCAATTATGAGTGTTTTCTATAAGATGGTTGGCGTAGTTGAAATCTTGTTTATTCAATCTGTAACTTCATGTTCCTCAACTGTCGTGTTGGAACTGCAGCCAGTCTGGCATATGTATAAGGCATCTAAGTCTTCACACATGAGTGTAACTGGAAATTGTTTTACAATACTTAAGCTTGAGTCCTTCGTTTTTTAGTAATTGTCTCTCAGCACATTTCAAACATTGAATCACCGTCGTTTTCCTTTTTGGTCTTAAATCATCCTCTTTCCAAAGAAGTCCTATTTTAAAACACAGTATAAGCGTTTCGCAGTACTCCTAATTATTACTGAGGCTTGAATTTCTTCATCAGTTAGTGGATTTTGATAAGGTAGTACTCCAAATGCTTCTGTCGTGAAAGAATGTTTCACTAATTTGTGAAGAGAATTGTCAGGTATTTATTACTACAAAAATGGAAAGAAAAACCATTGAGAATCCATCCAACCTCAGTCTTGGTCACTATAGGAGTATTGATTCCATTCTGGATAACTTTTCTGAGAACATTCAAGTGGATATTATCTTGTCCAAGTAATATCATCGGTTGTTCATCAGTTTCGGAGAATAATATTCCTTGGAGATGTGGAAGCCTTTCCCAATCAGTTTTTCATATGATTTGACTGGAATTCTGCATCTCAAGTCTTGTCTCCACCCTGGATATCTTTATGGAATAGTCGATGGTGATTTCTTTTGCATCCATTGATTCCACGTTGACATTTTACTCTACATTTAATTGTCTGATGGTTACTGCCGAGGTAAGAAAAGCACATTTGGAGATTTGTTACCACATTACATTGTGTGTCTATCTTGTCACTCTTCATTTCGTCACTTATTCTATGATCAGTAAGTCAGACTACTTTCATTCTTTTTTTATGTTGTGGAAGGGTCCGTTTCTGATTAGAGAGAGAAAAATAGATTAGAGAGAGGAAAAGCAGTGGTCCTAGTACATGCAAAGTATTTTTCATAAAGGAAAGTGACACTAACTTGTCACTTTTTTTTTATTTCACCTTTCAAAAAAAGAGCTAAAAATTGAACTCGGAATGAAAAAAATACATATGAAAATTGCATTTTTCCTTCATCGATTCCATTTATTTTCAAACTTCCTCGATAGATATCAAAGGAGTTTTTTATCAGCCAGTCAATCAAAATTTACTTAATTGTCAAGATTTTTTTCTCATCGAAAAAGTCAAAACAAAATTAAAAAACCTAAAATTATATTGAATAATTTAGCGTTAGCTTTAAATTTGAAAAAGTATAAATGCGAACTGTTTGAGAAGAAGAAAACTTGACCCACCTCGACCTTTTTCAGCGTGTCTCTTCTCTGGGTCTAGAATACGGATATTGGGGTTACTTGTTGTGAACACAGGTCTGCGGCGAATGTAGGCAAAGAACTTGGTAACTAATTTAGCGATTGTATATAATAACCGGCAATTAACGGTAGCACGAACGGCTTCTGAATTGGAACCATCTTCGGTTTTTCTTTTTTTTTATCGGATTGCGCATGCGGCGATTTACGTAGTCAGATTTGTGTTATAAACAGAATAAATCATGAAAGGCGTTTGACAAGAAATGAAGATAACTGTAATAAAAAGGTAAATACAAAATGAACAGAAACCAAGTAGCTTATATAAAGGTATATGGCGTATGATGGTAGGGCAAATCTACATCTACTAAAAACCTATTTATAACCCGAAAAAAATATCACTTACAATAAACAATAAATCAAAAATGAAGCACTGTAAACAGTTGTTTGCACAATTGGCCATTCTTCCACTTGTGTTTCTGAACGTCCTAGAGGCTGCCTAATGTATCTACAACTAAATCGTGAACTTTACTGTATTCACCAATTAGCCCTACAGTTAATCTTTAATGTGCCACTTAGCTTAATATAGGAATACAAATTTTCAATGAGTTGCCAAAAACCATCACCGTGCCTTACTTTCGAAATTCAGAACTATTATCCTCAAGTCATTTCTGATCAAAGATTCATTTTATTCTCTGCAGGAGTTTTTCAAAATTTAGTACACCTAGAACTCATTTATTATTTTTTCAGCAGGTTTGTAACGTAATCAACTATTTTAACTATTTACTGTTAATGTGTCTCTCCAGGTATCAATTTGGATTGATTAATCATTTCTCAGTTCGGCTTGATATGGTATTTCATATTTTGAGTAATATGAAATATAATGATCTGTTTCACGTTTTCTTCCACCATACAAACGAATGCCATATCCTATTGATCGTTCACTAAGAATGTTCAATGAAAAAACCTAGACATAGAGGTCACAGGTATAGGCATGTCAAAATTCAAATATCTTTTGAGGAGAACTTGAAGAATAATTATACGCCAAATTCTTAATTCAAATACACTTATTTCTTACATGTATCCTTTATATTATACTGGCCATTTTTCTCTGTAGTTTGAATTGTATAATTCTGTTTATCTTAGTGCTTTTACTCATTTTTGAATGCTTGAGTTTTCTTTAAGTCTTACTTTTGCATTTTCAGTCTTTTTTTTGATTTTCAAGTTTTATTTGATAATTTATTGTATTCGATGCTTGTACCACTGTAAAAGGGGTGATACCGTGTAATAAATAAATAAAATAAAATATTTGTTCCTTAATATATATGGCATGTTTATAAGAAACATTTTTTGCACACTCTTTTCTCATTATCTACCATGAAATAAAATGCTAGGTTAAATTTCCTTCTGGAGTAACAATATTTTGTAGCAAACTCAATCATAAATAGTTGATATAACAACGTTGAAGAATAATATCATTAGACTGCCGAAATTTTTTAACAAGAGTTGATCTTTGAACTCTGTTGATGTTCACCATACCTTTGAGAATAAGGAGGTGTCAGGAGTGTTCTTTAATGTAATACTTGGATTTAGAAATAGATGTGTGAGCTTGACCACTAGTTTTTGTAATTTTACCAATCGTCTGTTTCCAATTTGTATTTTCATTTTTCTGCTTTTGGGTAACGCAGAATTATTGAATTTATCAATCAGCAAAGTATCATCTGCAAAAATATTATGATTCAAATCACTACATAGTACAACAAAGTCTCGTAAATAAACACATTGTTTTGCGCTTACATCGCAAACGCTGGCTGAACCATACGAGATATATCAAAAAATATACTACAGTATTGTACACCTCAAAAGGTCTTCAAAAAAGTCCGCGATGGTATATAGATAGATAGATCTTTATTTAAATAGGATATCCTAATAATATACAAATCAACTAGAATGGTAGAAATAAAAAAAAAGGTATGTGTTACATATAGAAATGACTTAAATGTATGACAAACATAAGTTCAATAAAATATTTTTAAAGACATTACTACAAAAACAGCAACATTATACATTCGAAAAATTTCAATGCAACATGTAGAAAGATAAATTACATAATTATTTGAAATATATAACGAACATTAGATGAATGGAATTATACAAATTACAGCTACAGGTAACAAAGACATAATACATATCATATTTGTACATTTAAAACAAACTTCTTCAGTTCATTTTTGAACATGTTCAGAGATGGGCTATTTTTAATTGCATTAGGTAATTTGTTAAACCGATCATAACCCTTGAAAAACAATGAGTTCATAGTATTTTTGTTTTTTGTTCTGTTAATATATAAGTTATTATTATTTCGAGTGAAGTGGTGGTGAATATCGTGATGAAAGACAATATACTGATTAAAATAAGATGGTCCTAAATTGTTCAATATTTTGTATACGAAGATCATTGTGAAGTATAGCAGTCTTTGGGAAATGGATTGCCAATTTAAAACATTGAGCATAATAGTGATAGGAGTATCTCTACGGCACTTCAAAATGATTCTCATACCACGATTCTGAAGTTTTTGGAGTTGAGACAATTTATTATGATTGAATAGAAAGAGGAACAATAGTCGAAGTGTGGCTGAACAATTGACTTGTAAACTGTGATACTTGACTCCATTGAAAGATTATTGGCAATTCTAGAAAAAAAGAATAATTTCTTTGAAATTTTTTTATGAATATACTCAAAATGTTCATCAAACGATAGAGTGTTATCTAACTGGAATCCCAGATATTTAGTTGAATTCACTATTTCAATTTTGTCATCATCAATGTTGAGATTAATAGTTTTAAAGTCTATTTGGCTGTATTTAAACTTGGTGGTGATTACCATCGCTTTAGTTTTCATCACATTCAGCTTGAGTTTATTAATTTTTAAATACTTGTTGACACTTGCTAGAGTATTATTCATTTTTTGTATAGCCATCGTAAGGTTCACATCGCTACAAGCCAATAGAGTATCATCAGCAAAAAAGTTCATAAATTCACAGTCAACAAACAATGGCATGTCGTTTAAATATAGTATGAATAGAAGGGGTCCCAGAACACTACCCTGGGGAATTCCAACGTAATTGTCAATTTTACAAGAGAACATGTCTTTAACTCTTACCCTGTTTTCTGTTGGTCAAGTAATTAGATAACCAATTATACACTTTGCCCTCAATTCCATATATATTCAATTTGGCTAGTAGTATAGACCTATCAATGGTCTCAAATGCTCTTTTGAGGTCAAGGAACACGACTACAACAAACTTATTATTATCCAGCTCAGATTTAAATTTTTTTAGAGATAGTTGCACTGATGACTCACACGAATGCAATTTTCGAAAACCCGATTGATTGTTGATTAAAATGCTGCTTCAAGTACCTTCTCATATGAATACATTGTGCATTAAATATAGATCAATATTCCCCTTCAAAGCATGTAATTTAAATGAATATTTTCGAAGATATTTCAGATTTAAAATGCAGGGACATAGTGGTTGCGGCGGTACCTTACACGTGCCTATAAATAGCGCGTCAAAGGCCGCGCTTTGCCCTATGGTATTTTATGATTAGCGGCGATTGCACGCGTTTATATGAATATTTAGTATCAGCATTGCATACTTGCGGAGCCGGGGCGGTTCGCTAGTATAAAATAATCAATAGTGGACCCAGTACACTCCCTAAAAGATTGTGGATTTATATTTAGTGAAATATTTCGGAAATGGCAAAGTACTATATTATGTTTGGTTGACTTCAACCCTGTTAATGTTTCTGATTTGATTTGGTTGAGGTCAATAACAAACAACTTTTTTGATCAGACACATTTCATTTCTGAGGAAAGTTTTAAGAAATGTATCTAATTTCACACTTATTACTTCTCTAGTCATCTCAGATTTAACCGCCGTCAAATCCCTCGTTCAGAAGTTACTCAACTGTTGCCCTTTCCATATGATTATACATGATCTTTTCCCAGTCTCAGTTTTCTGCCCCTGTATTATTATTACTACTAATAATGCAAATCAGAGGAGTTGCTCTTAAAGTCCTCCTCCGCCTGTTTATAGTTGTGGTCCATATGTAGTTCCCAAGAGAATGGGAAAAGGTATTTTTCCCATCCATAACCCCCTGCAAGGATTCATGGCCAAGTATTTACTAGAGATTGCATAATGAAAACTGGTTTTCATTTCAACCAAATACATTTTCATTTTCTGGACGACAAATTGAATAAGGTGTTTAATTTATTTATTTTCTTTCAGATGAAACGAATGATGGAGATGAAGATGACTCAAGTGATGACAATCTTGTAAGTGGTTTGTTTCTTATTATTCGAGAGTTATGTGTGTGCATGTTCGATTCAATCTGGACTTCAGAATTCAGGGTACAGCGTGGTTAGCCATATTTTGGGAAAAATACGGCTTCATTGATTAATCTATTCATTTTTTGGAGATTCATGTTGAATATAGGATAAATGATTTTTTGTTATTAATGGTTTCGGTTTATTATTTGTACAGTGTGACCCATTTTTAATGGAAACACCCCCCTAAATTTTGAAGTTATCGTCCTCGTATTAGCTGCGGTACGGTAAATAAAATATTCAATGAAACTGGTGCAGTATCAAAAATGATGGTAAAAAGTAATCCTGTACAAAGACGAAACAGGAATGACCAGTATAAGGAATGCCACTTTAGATTTGAATATTCCACGAGAAACTATTCGGAGATGTCTCAAGGCGAAGAATATTATACCTTTCAAGCCAAAATTTTTACACACACTTCAAGAAGGCGACGAAGCAAGACGCCTGGAATATTGTTTATGGGCCCAAGGGGAAGCCAGTATTCCCAAAAAATCAACGTCTGGTGTGGGATATTGAACGAACGAATTATTGGTCCTTTCTTTTTTGAGGAAAACATTAATGCGCAGAGGTTTCTAGAATTTTTGAACACAGAGTTTTGGGATGCTATTCACGAGCTGCCAATCAATGAACGATCAAATTTAATTGTCCAGTTAGATGGGTGTTCAGTTCATTATGCCAGAGCTGTGAGGCAATGGCTTAACGAACATTTTCCAAACCGATGGATAGGCCGTGGTAGTCCGTTTATAGAGTGGCCACCCAGATCTCCAGACCTCACAGTTTTGGACTTTTTTCTCTGGGAACTTCTCACACAAAAGGTTTACAAAAACCGCTCAAGAGACAGAAATGAACTTTGTGCAAGAATTCGACAGGTATGTGCAGATATTAGTCCTCAAGAACTAAGGAATGTAATCAGAAACATTCGTCGTATCGAAATACGTGGTGGATTAGTAGAGGCTACTAGAATATGAGTTAGAATTAATTGTTGCACTGAATCGAAACATTTCAATAATTAGTTTATTAGTTACGTTTATTAAAATTTTTTGCTTCATTGTTAGTTGAATTGTGTGAATGTAATTCCGTTATTTTCATTAAAAATATTTACGCTATTTGTTTGGTTTTTTCATCTGGCGGCACTTTATTATTGAAATCATAAAAAAAATTATATATTTTTACTGTTAGCTGTGTGAGTTTTCGAATTTTTGAGTTGTCATAACTTTGTTAATAATGAATATTTTTTCATGAAATTTTGGTCACACCTATTTAGAGGCACTCTGAATCCAGTGGCATAATGATTTTTTTAATAAAAAAATCGCTAATGAAAAATCTCGATTTTCGACTAAGAAAAAATATCGTAGTATGCCCTGAAACTTTAATATAAACATTTCAAATTTTGTTCCAAGGTAGACCTTTTAGTACTTGACATTTAAAAAAAATTATTAAAATCGATTTACAACTTCAAATTTTAGGGGGGTGTTTCCATTAAAAATGGGTCACACTGTAAATTTTCTGAAAATGGTTTAATAAACCGAAACCAGTTGTAACAAATAAACATCCTAGTAGAAATTAGACAAAAGTTATTCTCTTTATCTTATATTCAATGTGATTCATATTCTGAAAATGATCAAATATAGGTTTTTCCAACACTTACGGTTATACCAAAAGTTATTACCAACTTTCTTAATTCAAATTTAACACCCTGTATATTTTCTCATTTTTGAATACCTGGCATAATTCTGAAATGAGTTTATGCAATATACCTTACAACAAAAATAAATCATTCTCGAGATAATCATTGTTTACTCAAGTTTACTAAGTGAATGATTCCCTAATAAAATTCAAAAGTTTGATTGAATACATAAATAAGCTATCATTGATTCATCAAAATGCTTCATTCCCTCGTCTTGTTAGAGTAACAGTTCCACAATGTCATTTAATTTTATTTATCTATCTAGCGGGCAACACTCAATATGCAATAGTAGATGGTGCTACATCTACTACTTCATCAATTTCAGTTGAGAGAAAAACCCAATGATTCAATGAATTATTCAATCATTTGAAAATCAAAGTATTGTCATTATTAAGTACTGTCAAGGAAAATGTTTATGAAGCTTTTTATTAAATGTAATAGTCACAGAAAGTGCCATTTTATTGAATATCTTATAGATGAAAATTCATGAAAATAAAATAAATGATTAGCCACAATAAACCATTCCAAAGCTGATAACCTAATTGTAATTTTTAAATACTCTTGAAGGGGCACAATTTTGTTAATTGTGGAATATTTTTTCATTTGGTGAGGCTTTTGCTTTAGATTATTTTTTTTTGTCTAGATTGTTGACCGTCGTTCATTTCTCAAAATTTTGCCGACATCAGTGACACTTATATCAATTGAAAATTGGGATACTATAAATGCTCACCTACGATGCTCAGCAATCCCAAAAGACCACAAATTCAACACATGATTTTTCATTCTCATTTTGTTGGGAAATGAGCGGCACTCATGTTATAATTATTCATCCTGTTTTCATTTATATATTCTGAAATTATATGATTCAACCTATTACTATGATACTTTAATTTTTTCCTTACAGAATTTCAACAGTTTCCTCAGTGGAAACAAGAATAAAACCAGGAAGAAAAAATTGAATTGATCATTTGTGAACCCAACCTATTTTATTTATTACCTGTACATATTTTGATTTCATTTATTTTTATTGTTGTGAATGTATTGTAAGTTTTTATCTATTTATTGTAATATAGTATTGTAATATAGTATTGTAATATTTATTATTCTATATTTCTTTCAATATACCTATTTATTTCAGTTTGTTTTATCAGTAAAAAATATTGAGTGTAATATGTATTATTGTTAAGTGATACATGAATTCCAAACCCAATTTCTATGGCAACTGTTACAATCATACTTTTTTCAGTTATGATATCAAAACCCTTTCAGATATTTTTAGATTTAATCCGATGCTCTTCCATGATTTTGACTTATGATATGACACTTTTAAAAATAATTGCTAATGTTGAAAAGATTCACTTTATATAGCCAGTTACGAAAAGTTTCTACCGGTGGCTCTTAAATTGAAATCAATATATATTTCAATATGTATGTATTAACAAAATAGAATCATACATAGGTCACCAAAGCAAAACATTAACAAACATCTTCAAACCCTTGAACATTAACATCACTTACAAGCCGAACCCGAGTTGGAGTAGTTTGATCCTTGTTCTGTATTTAGAAAAAAGAATCAAACAAAAAATAAGGATCAAACTACTCCATCAGATAAAACAACACAAAGATGGACTGCATTCACATGCATAGGTCACCAAACCAAAAAATTAACAAACATCTTCAAACCCTTGAACATCAACATCACTTACAAGTCGAACCCGAAAATAACACAAAAAATAAACAGCTATGAAAAAGAAGAAGACTAAAACCTAAACGGATTGTAAAGAATACAATGGCTCGGACTGCAACAAATTCTATATCTGCCAAACCAACAAAAAAATGATCCAAAGGTAAGACGAGCACAATAAAAAGCATACATTAACCCATTAATATATAAATCAAACTTTGCCATACACGCCATACAAAACAAACATAACTTCCCCCACCAGAAAACATCAAACTCATAAAACAAGTCAACAAAGGAAACCGTATGAACATCTGGGGAAACCTAAACATCCATAAATTCAAAAGCCATAATTCACTTACCCAAGAACTAATACAATAAGACCTAACATTCAATATACCCCACAAAACAATACACATTCCTAGAATCAATGAACCTGGGGAGGCATCAACACAAGGAATATTACCTGTTGTATTCCTAGTACAGGCAAATTTAATGAAACATCCGGGTGAAAGAGGAGGACAAATACCTTACCAAACCCTAATTAATGAAGCATCAACAAATGCACTAAGGCGATCTAACCATTTAAAAGAAAAAACAAGAAGATATGCTTCAGGATCAGGTGAAAACACCCTACCCCCTGCCTCTCATGTAGACCTATGACTTTGTAGGTACGTGAGGCAGATACCAACAGAAACACAATATATCCGACGGAAAAGCAACAACTAACCCGGCTAATGCCGTGCAGAAAGTTGAAATAAAACCATAAGTCATTAATGTTGAAATTTAATACGGTCGGTCGGTAGCCAAGCGGTTTGACGGGGGTGCTTTGTTCACTCAGTCAATCGGCCGATGTGTCTGTCGATGGTTCAAGTCGCAGACTGAACGATCGATTTTCACTTGCCATCGTCCAACCCGTGTTAGGAATCACACGTTAAAAGGTAAGACCTCATTAGCCTTCAGCTCGCACAAGATTCGACTTCTAAGGGTTGTCGTTTGTAGGGGTGCGACAGCTGGTTAACGGAAAACATATTTTAAACAATACGACATGTGCGTTGACTGCGAGGACAAAGGTTATATTTCAAAGTCTCAGCAATAACTGACGTTGCTGAGACATATGCACATACCACTGATGATATCTGCCTTAGTGCGTTTCGTACTACAAGTTCCTTCGTTCGACCCGTTCTACTAGCCCGAATTTTGTTTCCGCTAATCGTGACTGCAGCTGTGAAAGCGTATGTTCTTATATATCATATTGAACTGTTTATTAAATACTTAACAATTTGATCCCTGACGATATGTATCAACATATACATATGGATAATATGTAAATGTAAATGGTAACATACATTCTCTTTCAGATCTAATTTGATATGATATACCTCCTGAAATATATAAAGCATTTTCCACCAAATTCCGTCCTCATCAATGTACTTATCAACCTTAACCATTTCCCTTCTCTGAACGACTTTATTTCAGTGGTATCTCGTTTCAAAAGGTTACCATCACCAAAAGTCTTCCTTCAGGTGATGTATAACTATTTTGCAGGTCTGAGGTCAGCAAATTGTTCTCAGTAAACATTGCTCTCGTAATCTTGTAGGAGGACAAAAATTCTTACAGGTGGGGTCTCCCAGACATGAATTACGACCAGCCTAATAATTTTCGATATTTTCTGTCGAAACTTATCTACCTGGTCGAAATTTATGTCTGGGACACCCGACCTGCAAGAATTTCCGCCGACCTGCAAAATGTATTTCCAATTTTTTGAGAATTGTGAATTTTTTAGGTGGGGGTTCGAAATTTTTTTCTGTCCAAAATGATTAACCTGGTTGAGATTCATGTCTGGCAGAGCCGACCTGCAAGAATTTCTGTCCACCTACAAGATTACGAGAGCAATGTCTACTGAGAACAATTTGCTGACCTGCAGACCTGCAAAATGATTATACCCTTCAGGTGTCATTTCATGTAATAAATTGATGGATGTAGCCGTTACTACGTGATAGATCATCATGGAAATTGAGAGATGAAACTTCCTACGTTTTTATATCACTTGTATTTGTATCTAACCTTACTTCAGTTTCGTCCTATAAGGACATTTTCAAACGATTACAATAAAGTTTATATAAATACAAGTGACATAAAAACATAGAAAGTTTCATTTCTCTTTTTTCACCATTTAAAAAAAAGTTCAATATTAAGTCTCTAACATTTCAGAACTGAAATTCACTCATTTTCAAGTCGTACTTCCATAAGTTCATTAGTATGACAGCTGTAATTACTGGAATGCTAGAGGTCAGGCTTTGGAAGTTTTTCATACTACAAGCGCCGTATAGAAGCAAGCTAAACTGGATTGTCATCGGAAAACGAATCCACATGTTTCTAAAAATGATATGAAATCGAGAAAGGGTCGATCAAAAATTTGGAGAGGTTTTCCGGAACTTCAGAAAGCATCACCGGAGTCGAAGATGATCGCTGTGGAAAAATGAAAATCGGACAGCTCTTTCTTCTAGCAGTAGTTTTATTAAAACTTCAACCTTCGATGGCGAATCTTCATGGTCAATTTATCGCAGACAATTTGAGGCCGCTGCAGAAAATAATGGGGGAAAAATGAAGAGAAAGCAACAGCTCTTATATTGGCACTACAAGGAAAGGCCTCCAAAATTCTTCAGAATATTTCAATGAATAAGCAGAAGGATTACGAAGCAGTCGTATCAGCTTTGGAGGTCACGTGTGGTAGTGTCAACAAGTCTATCAAGCTCAACTGATCGTGATATCTCAAGGTGAGATCTCAAGTTTGCAAGAGTTTGGGACTGAAGTTGGAAAGACTCGCCTACCCACAGAAGCACCTGATAACTTCACTCACAGGATTAGTGTCCAAAGTTCCATCGACGGGGTTCGTGACACGGAGCTACAGCAATCGCTAAGGATGTCACGTCATAAAAAACTGAATGAAGTAATCATTTATGCCTTAGAATTTGAAGCTGCCAAAAATGATTCGCGACAACAGCGAAAAGTTCTTTTGAGGGCCACCAGTTACCAGGAAAATGACTTTCCACCAGACGTAACAAAAGAGCGATCAGATACTTTTTTATGGACAGCTCTGATAGGGAGATAAGCTTCCCTACCTCCAGCTGCTTCGGGTTCCCTCTGGCCCGGAGGGTAGCAACCTGTAATGTCCCTTATCCAGGGATACAGACAGAAGATGTGAGGTACCACCTGACCAGGGTGTGGTATGATCGTTATAACAGCTTCCGAGAGTAACACTACTTTCAAGATGTCATCGTAGCGCAGAAGGAGTATCCGGTTTCGAAAACTGTACGAGAGTGGATTGACAAAGGAGTGAGGCCGGAATGGCAAGATATATCCAAGTACGGCCAGCAGGAAAAGGACTACTGGCTCGGAAATGGGAAAGCCCGGATGGCCAAGGTCAAGAGGAGTGCACTTTCGACAGATTCGCAGTTGACATTCTGGGACCACTTCCTATGACAACGTCCGGTAACAAGTTCCTTATGGTTGTGATAGATCATTTCTCCAAATGGCCTACCCAACCAAGAGGCTGCAATGGTGGCAGAAGCCCTGTTGCAGAACGTAATCGCCCGACAAGGAGTACTCCATGAGGTACACTCGGATCAGGGCCGAAACTTCCAGTCGGATTCATGGAAGGAAATGATGATTTTATTGGGATAAAGGAAAGATGAACAACAAAAGGCATAATTGCACGATAAATAACTACCTCTCGATCTTGTATCCGAAAACCAAAGAGGTTGAGATCAATTGGTTTTTCTCTTTCTGTTGGCATACAAGAGCTCTCAACATTTCGCGACAGGTTACACACCATCCATGTTCTTAACTTGTCGAGAACTGAAGCTTCCGAGATATGTAATGTGTGGCAGCCCATCCGATGAATCTCAAAAGGTGCCTCTTTCAGATTGTGTGAATGGCCTGAATGAGAGACTGGAAATTGAATACAAATTTGCCAGATCCAAATTACAGCTTTTCAGCGACAGGATGAAGATAAGATTTGACAAAAAGTCGTTGCCGGTGAGCTTCAAGGGGAGGGCGATACAGTGTGGCTCTACCAACTCCAACGTCGGAATGGCTTGTGACAAAATTGCAGAGACCATGGCAAGGACCTAACTTGGTAATCAAAAAGATAATCGATCTGGTGTACAGAATCTAATTGTCACCCAGAAGCAAGTCTAAAGTTGTCCACATAGAAGAATGGAGTCGTTATGTTCCCTCTTGGAATATTGTTCGGGGCGAACAACCTCTCAGAGAAGGGGGTAGTGTGGTAAATTGTCCCATAAAAAATAACATCTGCCGCCGCTGGTCGTTATAAATCGATTGTGAAGTGCTCAACTCGACGTGCGCTAACCACCACTTTAGAAGTTGCGTTGCTTCGAGCAACGAATTCCCTATTGGCCATATATAAATACTACCTACGCGCATATCGATATAGTCAAGTTTCGCTGACAGTACGGTACAGAGCGATCTAATAAGGCGATAAATATTTGAAACATATTTGAAGTTTTAGTTAACGTGTTTGGTAAAATAAAGTTAATTTTGATTATTGTACAGTGTGGTCAATTATTGGTAAACCCAGGAAAACATTACAATATTATCAAAGATTGATTTCAAGAAAAGGTAGCTCTCCATTGATGTTTCGCATATTTCCAATGTTCTTATAAATGTGCTTCATCTGTTTTTCCGTTAACCAGCTGTCGCACCCCTACGAACGACAATCCTCAGAAGTCGAAACTTGTGCGAGCTAAGGATTAACGAGGTCTTACCTTTTGACGTGTGATTCCTAACAAGTGGTTCCTTCATAGTACGCAAGATCGTCTGAATAATTATAGATCGATTGTTCTATTTGTTTTATATCACGATTGAATGTTTCTTCATCGATTTTGAAGTTTTTGTATAGTCGTATTGAAATTTTTGATTACTGATGTGGTAACATATATTTGGTTTTTCAAAAGATTTTCTATTTGGTGTTCATCTTCGGTGAGTTTATTAATACAGTTGGTGTAATATTCACCATCTAATGAGTCTAGATTAGCACCTCTTCCGCTAATAATTATTCCTCGTTTGGATCTTTTTTGTAGTTTTGGGTGTTTACAAATATTTCTCGATATTTCAAGTCAAATATGAGGCAGAAATTTGAATTAACAAATCAATGTATGTTTTCACTTTGGTTTTGAAGGATAACATTCTAGGATTTGGTTGATCAAATGTGTATAACATGTTTTCCAAAATTTTGTTCTTATAATTGAAAGCAAATTATATTATAATTATAAGAGTCCATTTGTCCAGCATCGTAGTTACCGCGTTCGGAACGGGAAAACATCTCGAAATGTCAGGAGTAAGAACCTGCAGACCATGGTCAAAAAACCCAGAAAATAGATTTCACACAATTAACATGTACCTATGTTAAATGGATGTTACAGTGATATGTCCGTGTAGGTTACATAACAGTGTTACAAGATATAGAATGTTATGTTAATTCAAAGTATCTGTAACGTTTCACATTTACATTCTATATATTGCATAATTGTTGAAGCAAAACATTATTGAAACATTTGTCAGTCATGTGTAGGTTATATTTAATAGTAACGTTTTTTAGGTAACAGAATTATAATATTACGCATACTTGAGGGTGTTATTTTTAAAATATTTTACTATAATATCAGTGTCACTATTTTTCGGGTTTGAAGGCCGTCGATTTTTGGAATTTCTTGCTGACGTTTCGCTGGTTCATCGAAGATGAACCCAAGATGTATAAAACCTCTGAAGTAGTTATCCACTCGTGCCAGTGAAACGTCAGAAAGAAATTCCAAAAATCGAAGACCTTCATCAAACCCGGCCGCGAAGCCTTAACCATTTTAAAATAATGTTTATTAATAAGAGTGATCTGACGTTAAACTAGCGAATGTGAACAATCACTAACTACAAATACTTGAGCCATACAAGTAAATAGGAAATAAGGTTCTTTTTATAGTTGAGAGAAAGGAATGTTTATAAAAGTATTTAAAAGTTTCAATCAAATCTAATATATTGTAAATAAAGTATTTGTACACAAATTTTCACGGCTCAAAGGTTCCTAATTTTATTGTTTTCAAAAAAGAATTGACTTCGTAATGTTGTATATTCCCATTACTCTAGAATTGGGCCCATTAGGCCAGTCTACAACTATTTCCAACATCTATTTTTATTGCTCCGTTTTAACCAAATCATCAATTTCCTCTTTGAAAAATCAGATATATGTATCCACTCTTAAAAAAAAATAATTTCTCTAACATTTCAATGGGCTTCTTCATAGCACCGCTGATGACGACACGACTTACTGTCGACGATTCATGGTACTGAAGGAAATGATCACAGAACTCAGCTATCCTTTGAAGTGTATAGTTGTTCTTGAATTACCGTTATTCCATTATTTTCGACACTGGGAGTGAGAGTGAAGTGTAAGAAAAAATTTAAAATTTTATCTCCAGCTGTCAAAACAAAATGCTTTTGTAGGTTATTAGTGACTGAAATATAGAGAAAATCTAGTAATTTTAGATGAATATTATTTGATACTTCAGTTATTGATAGTGAGTATACCCATTTCATTCGAGTATGATTGAACCTTTAAAAAAGTTTGTACTTCACCCTGTAGGTTGCAATTTTCGTTTACGGTTCATCTTTTTGCGAGAATGCCTAACGCAAGCGCGAGTGTAGCAGTCTTCGTCATTCACATTGGGCGTATACTTAATAAGCGGCGCGGCAGTGAGGTGTTCCAGGTCCAATCTTCGCCTTTGCTTTATAAGTCGACCGTCAAAGGTAGAGAGCTTTAATTCGCGTCGAAAGTGGGCCGGTGCCGATTTAATCATAAGTGAGAGTATACTACCAACGAAATGCAAGAATACACTCAAGTTACCATGCCAAATTATTCCTATATTTTCAACTTTGAATCGGATTTCATCCACCAAAAAACTCGCACATGGATGCAAGATAACTGGACTCTGGGATTTTATTATGTGGGAATTTATATGATTCTCATCTTCGGCGGCCAATACATCATGCAAAGTCGACAGAAATTCGAACTAAGAGGCGTCTTGGTACTCTGGAACACCTTACTGGCCTGTTTCAGCATCATGGGAGCTAGTAGGACTGTTCCCGAATTCTTACACACTCTTTCACATCATGGTCTATACCACTCAGTATGTATTCCTTCATTCATTGAGCAAGATAAAGTTTCGGGTTTCTGGACCTGGATGTTTGTCCTAAGCAAGCTTCCTGAACTAGGCGATACCATCTTTATAGTTCTTCGGAAGCAGCCACTAATATTTCTCCATTGGTATCACCATATAACTGTTTTGCTGTACTCATGGTTCAGCTACACCGAGTATACAGCTAGTGCAAGATGGTTCATTGTTATGAATTATTGTGTCCATTCTGTGATGTATTCCTACTATGCTTTGAGAGCTATGAGGTATAACCCTCCCAGGCAGATAGCCATGGTTATTACTTCGTTACAGTTATTACAGATGATCATTGGGTGCGCTGTGAATTTATGGGCTAGACAGCTACTGCAGCAGCAGCAAGAGTGCCACATTTCACCCATAAATATCAAACTTTCTATTGCCATGTACCTCAGTTATTTTGTCCTGTTTGCTAGGTTTTTCTACAAAGCCTATATGTCTGGTGATAGGAGATCAAAAGCTAGGACTGCTCCTGTAACAGCCGACTATCCGTTGTTGAAATCCAAAGTGCTATAAATTGTTTCTTGTAGAGCTATGGGACATTTTAGATGACCATTACTTTTGCCGAGCTTGGTTCGTAAGAAATATTATATCTTAACCGAGTTTTGTTATGAAAGTGGACCTGTGACAAGGTTTGGGAAAAATATTGGTGAAATTTTAAAAAGATGATTGAGAAAAACTGTTTCCTCAATATAATGTATACAAAAATCTATTACTCGATTAACTTCTAGAGTGGGTCAATATCTAATACTCATAAAGTGAAATTGTGATGGTCATTTAGTATTCCTTCCATTTCCATAAGTTTCACAAAACTTTCACATGCTATATCAATCAATGAATTAAAAATAATAATATCTTAATCTTTCATTGAATTTAAGAAATCAAGAGATATGAAACAGTGTTTTTCACTTAAGTCAACAGAATTTTTCCCTACATGTTGCATGAGTGCAACAGTACCTGGCATTAATTTTTTTATATTATTATGTTTAACAAAATAGTGAAATTTCATGAAAAAAAAATGATTCAGTTTTATCGAAAAAGAAATTATTGAATGAGTTGAATAGTTAATATGTATATATTTGTTAGTGTATTATCTCAAAGAAAATACAATTGTTTTTCTACAGTATTTCACCTTTTCAGGAGGTGGAAGGTGATGAGTTAGTGAAGATGAGCTTTACTTACAAACATTAATACATTAATTTATATTGAAGACCACATTAAATTAGATGTAATTTGTAGTTATCAGTTAGTAACTATTACTTGTGTATGAGAGATTTCATACAAATATAAAACTGTCAAAAAAAGTAAAAGAGAAAAATGTTCATGATTTTTTTCTGAAATATTTGATAAAATTATGCCGATTTTATTCGTTCTTTATTAACTTTTTTCAACAGTCTTCAGCTTATTTTTCCCAAAGCCTTTGCCAAAGTCCTAGTTCTGGTAATTATATACAAAATGATTTGAAATTTATTCACCTGTTTGGTATATGAAATTTTTTTTCAATTTTCATATATGTGATATCTGTTGCACTCTAAGTGGTATCGCAAAACAATTAAGGTGAACCTGAAGTTACATCCTTAAGTGCCTACATAACTAAAGTTTTCTCAAAGTTTCAGTTCATGATGTTTTTTATATTCATATATTTTTTCATCACATACAATTCATTCATTGATTTTAGGAAATGTGAAAAAGTCACTGAATATATGTTTTATTATATATCACTGTACTTGGTAGATTGACGAGTTTTTACTATTTCTACATTATAATAATAATTCCATGTTACTTACTCCTTTTAATACACCATATTTTTAATATAAATCATTTTAATAAACTTTGTCAATGAGCATTTGATCGACAATGTGATAATTAATATTTTTGTATTGCCTTAGAGTGTTTGAATTTTGTCAGAACTATATAATAGCAACACAACTAGGACATTTTTTTCTTCATGTTACTTTAGCATTTTTGCAGCATTCGTTAATGTATTTGTAGAAAACTTTTTTGAATTGGGATTCTATGTTTGGAAGGTTGTAAGAGGATAGACGCAAAAAATTTTAACATATAGGTATTTTCATATTTACTGAAAAAAAATTTGTTGAAGAAATTCCTGAAAAAGTTATTCAATATTTTCTAAGTTGGTTCTAGGGCAGAAAGTCTTTAAGTTGTGCAAAATGAAAATATGTTTTATTTTTCATAGTTTTCCTGTGTTAAAGTCATCTATTTTTTCTTATATTTTACTAGCCCATACCTAATTTATTTATTAATATATGGATTCCAATTGTCTTTCTGTGTTGAATATTCATCTCAGTTTTTCCATAGCATTCTTTTTTTTTTTTTGGAAATTATGATATGGCTTTGCACATCATTTGTCATGAAAAATTAATCACAAATAACTACATTATTGAGACGGAAAATTCAGTTTATTTACTATTTTAGGTATTTTTGAAATCTTTATCCCAAAAAAACAAGATTGAAAATGTCTTCTCATTGAAGACATTTGTAACTTTACAGAAAATACCCATTTACTTAATGTCATTTCAACGATATCTCATTAAATAAAAACCAATTCATTATAGAATTTTATTTATATATTTCATAAAATTCTGAATTGATTATTTACATTATGGGTTCAAGTAGTACATGTCCTTTCAACGATGTTTTATCTCTCCTTTTCTACCCAGTATTTCAAACCATAATTAAGGTCAATCAGGTTGAAACCAATTTGTGTTCACATGTTTATTATTCTTGTTGGATTCATGTACTCAAAATAAAAATGGAATAAACAACTAAAAGCCAAAATAAAATAGTTAACCTTCCAAAGGATAAAAAAAACATAGCAATGTCAGTGAACAATTGAATGTCACAAATGAATTTAATTATATGCTCTTATTGTTTTCATTTTTGAATCTCCTGTGAATTTTGACACAATTCAGATATTTTTCAAGCTTTGATAATAATTATATTGATAAATATAAATCAATTTCCAATTTTCAATAATGATATTTTATTGGCACATATATGAAGTGAACAAATTGTTTTGTGATATTTACTGGTTATCATTACTTATTTTATTACCATGGGGTCTTTTAAATGAAACTAGTCATTAATGGTTATGTTAGATATTTACTTTTTGATTTGTCTTTTGAAAGTTTGTTATATTTTAGGAAACTATATTTTTCTGTTGAACTAAAATGAAATTATGTAAAGTTGGGAGAAAAATTACAAACGTTTGTACAGTTTTCAATTGTATATTCCATTATCACTCCTTTATACCCTTTTATAATACCTACATTTTAATTTCCACTGACTGCAGAATACAAAAAATTTGGATGTCTTCCAATTATAAACCATCAAATAGTCATTATAGATTGATAACAAATGTAGACATTATTGCCATGTTATGATTGATTTATAAAAATGAACTCAGTCCTGGATTGTTCAAAACAGATGTTTCAGAAACAACAGGTTTTTGCATTATCTCATTGTTGGTTTGAAAAATTGGTAGAACAGAATATTTACCGATGTTTAATCAAAAATTTTTTTTCGAATTTAGTATTTCTCTGGAGGTGTCTATCAAAACCAAAAAAAAAAACTGGAAACTCCTCTTTTCCTCACCATTTTCTCGAATACCAAAACAGAAACACAGGGTCTTAAATAACGACAATTCATTGATAGGCCTTTTATAAAGTGATAATTTGAAAAATATGTATTCTTGAATGTTGAAAGATTTGGAATCCCAATGTGAATAAGAACAGTAGAGAATCACCAAAATACATAAATAAATTTGAAAAAAAGGGAAGAAACTTTTGTTTAGTTGATATGGAAAAAATATAGAAAAAATATACAAATTATACTCACTTCAGAAAAAAATTGATGATTATAAATCTGGAAATAGTGAAAATACGGTATAATAGGATTTATACATTAAGTTGACTGAATCAGTATGCAGCTTATTTCAAATCCATTGTTGATATTTGGCTAAGGAGTACTTTGTTATTTTTGCTTATTCCACTGTTTAATGACCTCTTACTTTCACTGATATATTTTTCTTGGCTTTCTGTTCATGTTTGCTGGTTTGCTATATGTAAAGGATGCTGCGGATTATGTACCTGCACCTGGAGACAGTTCTAATATTGTACTATTGTTGACTCCTAAATGTGCGCCGGTTGGGTGTTCATTGTGAACTTGAAAGGACCAGCAAGCACAAAAAGAACCCTCATCAATGAGAAACTTGTACGTTGAAGTAGTAGAACACAAGAAAAAGTGCTCCGAAGTCGTTATCAACCGCAGGAAGAAACATTTGCAAGTTCAAAGAAGCCACATATATAATGAACAACAATGAATTTAGTCAAGTTGGCTCGTAAATTAGAAACGAGTAGGAACTCTACATCGAGGAGAAAAGTACGATGCAATTGACTAAACCAAACAACAGACTGATAAATAAACTTTGCATTGTCGGGATAATAATCACTCGAAGACAATTATAGATACTGAAAATACAAACATCGAAACCTTATTTAAAATAATTTTCACTATATTCAGCTAGGTATTTGTTAACAAGTTAAATCTTACGTTATTTTTCTTATAGCTTATATCATTTCTTTTAAATTTCAATTCATAGTAATTTGTTGACACTAGAGAGTAAAAAACAATGCACTCATGATTTAACACTATGAAGCGCTGTTTCGACTCACCTAGATCTCATCAGTGGTGCTAGACTGAACTACAAGTGCATTGCTGTATGGAATATCCTGAAAGTACAAGCCTGACAAGAAGACGCATGGGATCGACAGTAGGCACAATCTCCCATTATCAAAAGACGGTTAGTTACTAAGGCAAGTTTTGACATCGATAGCAGAATGAAATTCGTCCTTTCACTGCAAGGCAGCTAATTGAAACTAGAGTCCAAGAAACAACGAATTCGGGATTCAACATCAGGCAGCGCTGTTTCGACTCGTCTTAGTGGTACTAGGCTGAACCACAAATGCACTGCTGGACTCGATCGTCTTTAAAGGAGGAGCTGAGTAAGCCAAAACGCCTTCTGTGGGATCAACAGAAAACTCAATCCTTGAATATCAAATGTAGACGAGGTTATCATCATAGTAATTGTTTTGATTCACATTGAATTTCTTACATCACTTCAATTAAATTTTTGTTTTATGAACCTAAAATAATAATTTTATTTTAATACTAATAATATTTTCAAACACACAACAAGAAACATTGGCAATGTCAACTACATACTATAAATATCAAATATATTATTTGCTGTAATGAAAAATATAGGTAATTGATCATAATAGTATTGATTATAGTAATCCTATGTTCACAAAAAAAGATATATGTACCTATACAGTTTTTTTCATTCAACATCCAAAGTTAAAAAACTGAACTTTTGAAAAATTCATAACTCAAATAGGTACTCACTTACTATTGAAAATAAATAATTTTAAGAAATTGAAATAATGTACTATTGAAAAAAATTTATTCACAGCATAATATTCCAGTGTTTGTTTACACTATTGGTGTTGATATCTTTTTCAAGTACCCACAAGTGTTTCACATCATTGTTACACAATATTGCTTTATGACTAATAAGGAAGAGAAATCATCTATTTCTCAAGTACACCTAGAAAAGAACAGTGAAAGCGGTTCTTTGACTCTTCTTCTTCTAAAATATAATGAAAAAACTGACGATGGATTGAAACAGGCTGATTGTTCAAATCATGAGTTTAGGGAAACATGAAATGAAATAAAGTTTGAATTGAAAGGGGTATACCTATTTTTAGGAGAATTTTTTCGGAACGAAACGTTTGGAGTTTCTACTTCTCCATCTTCATAAAAAAGATTGTGTATCTTCGTTTCTTTGAAAGATTCCCACATTTTTTTATAAAGATGGAAAAGTATAAAGCCAAAACCATTCTTCCCAATAAAGAAATATTCGATTTTTTTGTGAATGGCTAAAATGAGCTTCACAAGCAGAAATTATTAAAAATAAATAATAAATTTCATTTCTATAATGATAAATGTTAGAATATTCAATACAGACATAATCTACCCTAACAAAGTAAAACACCCTTTACTGAAGTATTCTTCAATTGTCAGTTTACATTCAATAAATTGATATTGTCTCTTTTTATCTGAAGAGAAATAATTATCACAATCATATTTGTTCACCCAAAGTAAACCGTTATACATAGGTATAAGAAAAATATAATAATCAAAATCGGTGGTGGGTTAGAATTAAAAAATAGTTTAGCATTATGTTCCAAAAAAAAACAATTTTTTTCGAAGTTGATGTAAAACTCAAAGCAAAAAATTATAATTTGAAGATACCACCCACTTCCCTCTGCGAAACGTTGATGAACTCACTCAAAACGATCGATGGTCAGCAATTCCAAAAATGACAAATACAATCCGTTCACTACCTAATAAATCAAATCTAATTTGTGACTGAAATTATCCGTTTGAAAATCCATTGAAATTGCTCATTCTTGATTAATTCAAAGAGAACAAGTGTAAGTTTCTCTAGAATCGTCAGAAGATAAAATAAGTGAAACTAATGTATATACAAATTCGTGTGCTCATAATATTGAATATTTTTTCTTCCATGGAACGGGCCCTTCATCGGGAATTTTTGTCGTCATCTGTTATAATGTTTAATTTTATTAAATAGCGTGCGCAAATATTCTGAAATAGAACTGATAATTTCATTTATCTAGACCTAAACACAACTACTCAATGTAACATTACCTATAATCATCTATAATTACTTTTTTTTGAAACGATTCATGTATTCCCTTGACTGAAAGTGGATTTATTGAGTTCGAATTTACATAGAATTGATTTTCTTACGGTGGTCAGCTATTTTTTCGCCACATATAGTAGTACCTACTTCTGCTCTATTGAATTTATAAATACTCACTTTACTATTACTACTAGCTGAATTCTAACAAATAAAAAAGTACAAACTATTTTGGCTCAATGGAAGCAAAATCCATTAACATGAGAGAGAATCGTAATCGCAAATTAATTATAATATATTCGCATATATTAGCAAAAAAACTTTTGTTGTATTTAAAGTACCTACATGACGATAAACGAATTTAACTTCAAGTAGATATACAAGGCCATTCAAGTTTAAATATCTGTTTGGGGATCTTGTAAACGGTAAGAGATAATGATTTGGTTAAACTGTTGCAAAGTTGACTCCGAGTACTATCAGATCACCCAGCATCGTGAAGTTATCCAAATCCACGAAAAAAAATTAAACCTCAATGTTATCCTTTCGAAACAGATTATTGTGGAAATATCGACGCTATATTATGGAATTCTATGAAAAGAAGCAACTGCTCAAACTGTCCAGGGACACGATATCAAGGGATTGAAAAGAAACTGAAGTGTACGCTATAGTACCTACTGCTTTCTGATTTTAATATACAGTGTCACCATTAAAGTGCGCACCATATGGGAAACTTTTTCTTCGAAAAGTTTCAATGAAGTTTAACTTCGGCACTTGTTTGTGCTTTAAATGTAACTTGAAATGATGCGGCCAACTGCGACCTACTGATGTTCAGTGTTTGTCAAATTCAACTTTCTTTTTGAAAAAAATTGAAAAAGTGCATTTCTAGATCGAATTTAACAAAAAGTTACTTGAAAAAGTTGTGTCTACGGCAATTTTATATTCATGTGCCAAATTTTATGCAACTAGGATAAAATTAACGTTTTGCTTATTTTTGACAGATATCCCCTTTATTTTAAAAAACAAGTTCGGTTAATTGTCATTAATTCATGTATACATAACAAACTCATCATGGAGTTTAACTTTTCTGATAAATTTTTACTTTTACGGACATTTTTAGAGAGAAATTAAAAATTTGCTATAAACATTTTAACATGACTGGTGCAAAGTTTCAATCACTTGGCTATTTTCTTAAACAAACGTCAGTACCTTCAATTTTGAAAAAATAGACACAACTCAAAAACTGCAATAAATAAGTATTAATAAAATTACTAGAGTTGAAATTACATTAAAATTTCAATATTCAGTATTTACAGATTATTTATAAACACTAACTAGGGCGGTAAGGATGCTTAATCACGTTGAATAAAATTTTTAAGTAGGTCTTGACAAACAAAATGCATGCTATGGTAGTGTCAAGTTGTTGATTTACTTGTCAAATTCTTAACAGTTATTGTTGCAATAATGTTGTCTCTTCAGGAAAGAATAGAAATAGTTTTAAT